CCTGGGCGCCCTCGGAGGCCAGGGCCCTCCACTCTCTCCGGGGCACGATGGGGCCGCAGCAGGCCTCGTCTTCTGTCGCCCCCTCCCCGAGGCCTTGGAGGGCGAGCAGGGCCCAGGCGAGCAGCGCGCAGAGCCGGGACATGGCGAGCAGGGCGCGCAGGGTCGGCTAGGAGCGCAGGGGTGCCCGGGGCTGCCTTTTATGCTGGGGCCTCAGGGCGGGGAAAGCCTTGCTTCACGCCCTGGCAGGTTACAGGGACAGGCTTCCTTCTCTGGCCGGGCTGCAACAGGATGCGAGTGGTTGGGCCGGAGGGAAGCGGGGAAGGGGAACCCCGGAGAAAGTCAAGGGGCCCCTCAGCTGAGAGTGGGGGCGGGGAGCGGCGCACCGGCCCCTGGGCCCTTTGCCCGGTGGTTTCTGGAAGACCCAGGGCCTTGCCCTGGATCCTTGCCCGCTTTGTCTCCTCCCCGTGGGGCATTGCACACCTCTCCAGAGAGAGGCCCCAGGCCACTTCCTCCTTCCCGCAGAGACTGCAACACGCTGCCCTTTGTTTTAGTTCTCCCGCCCCCAACCCCAAGCTCAAGTCATGTAACCCTTTCAGCAACCCGCGGAGGTGAGTACTGAGAAGCCCATTTCACAGCTGAGTACACCGAGGCAGGGAGAAGGGAAGTCATGTTGGGGAGACATGGATTCAGAGCCAGGCTGCCTGCAGCTGAATTCTGGCCACATCCCAGTGTGTGGGCTCAGGCAAGTGACCTAACCTTTCTGTGCCTCAGTTTTCCCACCTGCAAAATGGGGATGGGATTTAAAAAGAGCGTCAGTGTGGGATTACATGGGTTGACAGCGTTGGGCCCTCAGAGGATGCCTGACTCATAGTGCCAGGTAAGCACCACTGGGCGTTCAATTCCTATCTGTCCTGGTAGTAAGCAACATGCTTTATGTGGGTGTCCCTCCCAGCTCCACGCTGCACAGGCGGGATCTGTGGGCCGGAGAGGAACCGTAGTTGGCCCAGCTCCAGCCAATGGCTTGGGACCACCTGTTGGGGAGAAGGCTTTCCTGGGGCTTCTGTTCTCACCAGGACCCTTTTCCCACTCCCTCCTAGAGCACGTGGTGGGCTCAGAGCAGATTGCCTAGTTTGCTCATCTTCCTTTCCTGCTACTTTGGGCGGGGGGGCAGGTGGAGAATAAGACAGCCTGGCTGGCATGGCTCAGTGGTTGAGCATCGACCTATGAACCAGTAGGTCATGGTTTGATTCCATCCCTGGTCAGGGCACATGCCCTTATGGGCTCCATCTCTGGAGGGAGGTGTGCAGGAGGTAGCCAATCAATGATTCTCTCTCATCATTGATGTTTCTCTCTCTCTCTCTCTTCCTCTCTGAAATCAATAAAAAATATATTTTAAAAAACGACAAAAGGGTTGGGGCACTGGGTGAAAGAGGTGAAGGGACTAAGAAGCACGAATTGGTAGTTACAAAATAGTCAGGGGGGCATAAATAAAGCATAGGGAATATAATCAATAATATGGTCATAACTATGTAGGAACACGAT